TATAATTTTTATAGAATGGGAATATCAATTTGTGTCATTGAGACAAATTTGAAGCATGTTATTTTTCTTAAAGTTTGAGATGTGTATATAGTTATTCAACAGGTTTGTTTTTCTGTCTAAGGTTTGCTTCACTTCACTGACCAATAATTGGAATAATATTCCGAGATTCATATTTATATTTGCATGCCCATACTGCTGGTATGTTAATTTGCTGTCTAAAGGTTATATCAGTCTCAAAATACCCTCCTCTTCAGATTTATCGTACGAAACCTGTGTGGTCGAAAATTAACTACTAATTTACCTGATTGATGACCCCTGTAGGGTATCTACCATATAGTAATTTCAGACTGCAAGATAACCTAGGTTAAAATAATTGTGAATAAAGTGCGGTTGAACTCTTAAGCAAAGATGATGAGATCACGGCACTGCCATGCAAAGGGTAGAGGTCTATCATTGTCTTCAGAACAATGCCATAGACAGCAAGATTTATAATAGCTCATTCCAGATAAGAAAAAAAGAAAGACCTTTATTACCACCAGCAGAAAAAAAGAATAATGGTGGCCCCAGTGATCATTGTGTCTCTTTGAATTTAATGTAATTGGAAAGGAGATATAAACTTGTCTCTTTTAGTGCAAGACTAAGTTGTTTGTATTTTACATGTGGAGTGCATTGTACATTATTATTACATTCTTTGATAATCTTGAGATTAAATGCAGAATGCTTGGTAGATTGAAATGCAATCTATGGAAGTTTGTAACTGTCTAGTGAAATAACGTTTGCTTTTGAAATCAAATGCTGAGGCAAAAAAATCAATAAATCAATCTCAAAAGTAAAAATCCTTGAGTTGCTTTTCTTTTATTATGTGTGTGTTGAACCCACTTTCAATTTTTATGAGTCTTTATAGTGATTCTGTTGTATTAGATTTGCTGTTGTTGTTTGTGCTTTGTTCAGTGTTTTTTATCCTTTCTTGTCATTGGTCATTTGTATATTAACTTTGGAACTTTCAGTGTCAATATGAGGCTGATAGCTGTAACCTGTTAATTATTAAAGTCAATATATGAAGTTGACAGACTTGGCTACCGAAAGGTTGACAAATTATTAAATATTTCATAAAATGTATGTATATTACCGGTGGTGCTGTGAATGGTGACTTATTTAACATTGATAACAGCTATATAGGGCAAGGACAAAGATTGGTGAATGCTGAGCCTGGCATTATTCAAGTGATCATCCCTATTCAACCACATCAACTTCGTCAATTAAAACTGCACAATTATGGACACTGGTTTTGACTGACTGAGTGATAGACTTGAATGTGACAACAGTACATGCATGTGTCAACAGAGAAAATTATTATATTTTTAAGTCATGGCAATGAATTATTTTTTCAGTACATGTAACATCTATAGATGGGTATACATGTTTTGGGCCTAACTGTTGCCCATTAACATGTGTAATTTATTGACCAATGAGAGCATGTCATTTTAAGACAGCTCAGGGTATTATAATATCCAGTAAACGAATAATTTTTTAAAAATTATTTATGACAGCTCATTTCAGTTAATGTCTGGTGTGACAAGCAAGTTAGGAATGTTACTCAGTTCTAGTATCCAATTCACTTAAATATGAAACACTTAAATCTTTATTACTTTGCAACATAAAAAGAAGTATTTAAATTTGGCAGTTGAGTGTTACACCTGATTGAAAATTACTTGTTTCAATGCATTTTTAAAAACACTTATATAAAATATAAATATTCATGAGCTGTGTCGACAGTATTTTGATTACCAACAGTAAGTAAGTAGGTGTAATTCCCTCAAGTTTTCAACTCGCATCATATACTTTTATTGCATTTTAAATTTTAAATGAAATTTTAAACATATTACAACCACAAATGGGTAGTTAATTATTCTAGCTAAGCTAATTTAATCTCAATCGCGGAATTGTATATTCTATTTACAAGGATTAAGCAGAAATAGAGCTGGTTTAATTATGGGAAAATATCCACTACTGGGCTTTGTCTCCTGTAGACAGTAAATAAGTGCAATTCCATGGTATTCTCATTGTGTTTTGTGTAGTGTGCAATACCAGTAGTTACGTCTCTATTCAAAGTATACTCACTATAATAACCCACTATGTTTGCAGTCATTGAGGAGCAGTGACCATGGTGCTCCTTGCAGTGATTATAACAAACCATGAGACATGCATTTTTCATGAGTAGTCAAGTATTTCCCAGGTAGCAGATTAGGATACATCATTGGTGTTCTATTTGTGTTTGTATCTGTCATGTCAAGGATTAACTGTCAACCGCATTCATGTGTTTTTTTTTCAAAATAAAGGTTACTTATATTATAATCTGGTTGCTGTTTAAAACACCATGACAATTATTGGTGTTCCAATTGTGGTTTTGTTCAATTTCATTCTATTAATCGTTAAATCAATTTGATGGTAGAATGAGAATAATAAGGTTTTGTCTTACTCTTGATATGTGGTGAAAATGTTTTACTCTCATTTTGTTGAAATTGATTTCTGACATGGTATTCCAAACGGAACATGTGCTTCATGAACTCTAAGCATTCAAAGTAAATTAGTTCTTGAGATGAAAATATATTTTTTTTCCCATCCCTTAAATGTAAATGCATGTAAGTTTATAGTCTAGTTCACCTTTCACAAATTAAACAAGCCTTTTTTTTTCTAATACCTGTAAATAGGAAATTGAGACAATTGGGTTTGAAATTGGAGAAAAATATGTTCAAAATTGGTGCAGGGAAAAATATATATGGTAATAACAACATTAAACCTTAAATGTAGTAGGTGCATTAGTAGTTCAGAGTGCAAAATATATTTTTGTATAGCGAATGCTGACAAAAACTATTAATATCAATATTCTCTGGTAAAAATGATATTAACTACATTGAATAAAGTATATAACATTATTGTGAATATTGGAAAAATCAATATGTATATATATATATATATATATATATATATATATATATATATATATATATATATATATATATATATATTTACAATGGAGTGCAAATTTTGTGCCTATATACGAGGTATTTATATTGAAATATTTTGATTTATTAGGTACATGTGCATGTGTTGCATGCTTCATGACTGTCACCTCTGTCGACCTCTATTTGAACTTGCATGACAACATGTGTGATATTTTCTGGTTTGGCTATCTTGTTTCCATGACAATATACATGGTAGTATTTTTATATATATGAAATTAAAAGGAACAAATTTTATTCACGACTAAATTTACGAGCTTTTGATAATTGGCTTATTTTTTACTTGTCATCTAGTTTGGTTCTATTATTTGAGCAAATTGCTGCCTATTATAATAGTTATGTCGGTTGAGTGAATATCGATAATACTACCATATGACAATTAATTCGTCATTCATTCAAGCTTTGTACTTTCTACTTAGGTTGAGGTATGCATAAATTAATCTCCCCAGACTTTTTTTAGGCTATCACTTCTTTATTTATTAATAGCAGTCCATAACCTACAAAAATATGAAGTTACAGTAAAACTAACAGTCCTCCCATCTCGGTTTAGGGTGCACATGTCGATCAGTTATTGTACCAAATTTGTCAATTTATACTATTTTCAGGCTTGCATGTGTTTGTTGAATGATTTTTTTTGGTGAAATATATATAGACTTTAAGCATGCATCATATATTATAACACAATCATGTGACATAATACAGTTGGAATATCATTAAGTGTAATATGATCGCCTGTCACAAAGAATTTAAAGCTGTTGAGTTGCTATGTACACAAAATGTATATGACAGACATTTATCATTTACTATTATTATCTATTACTAATGTCTTTACAGGTGGTCATAGGATTATTATGATCAGTGTTACTGGTTTTTCATATACTGTATTTGCTTTATTAGAAGTACATTTGTAATATATGGGAGCTTTGAACAACAATTTTTTGGTGGGATTTTATCGACGCCATGCTCACACTGTTTCATTTATGCTTATTAACCATTTCACCACCAGTTTCCTTTTTTCATCCCAAAATAGTCCCATTTATAGTCTGCACTATACGTCCTTCAGAAAATTGGGACAAAAATAGTCTTAATATTTTGAGTAAAAACTGAAAATTTACCAAAATTTTGTTTCTTTATATATTTGGTTCCAAAATTAGGGCTCATTTCCAAAAATATTGAAGAATATAAGAAAAAAGTGCATACAAATTTTGGCAAAAAAGTCTGGTGGTGAAAAATTTAACTGGTCATGTACATGTCTGAGTGCTTGCAATTCTAATAAAGAAAATACAGTATATAGATTAGTAATAAGCTTGAAAAACCAAATTGAGATTAAAACGGGTGTTTGAACGCCTTTGCACTCACTGTAAGCTTGTACAACACCACAGTCAATCCACATCTATATGGTTAATGTAGCACATACATGCTGAACCAAATTGAGTAAAATTGTATCAATATGCACTTTCGTCAGCACTGCGATATATTTTGTATAAAGTCGACAGAAAACAGCCCTGGGCGATAGTGTTCAATCAAATTTACCATCTGAGTATATGTTTTTGTGTGGCAAGACACATATTGTATATCATGTATCTTGAAAGCTTGATTGGAATTGGTTGTACGTGCCTCACCTTGCTAGCTGTTAATGCATTATTAAGAAACCGGTGAAGTTTTGCCAATTTAAATTTTCACGATTTAATAATTTTGTTAATAAAAAAGTCACTGTGACCCACTGACATGTTCATCACTGCTATAAAACTTTACAATTTCTCTGACTCTGTAGAAATTCTGGTTTGCTATATAGACACACATACATTGTATGCACATATATAGTGCATTTATATGAGCAACAATACACAAGCTGTGATGTAATTGCAAATGCATTGGTATGAAGTAATAACTGCATGATGTTATCAAGTATTCCACTCTATCTAACCAGCATGTGTTTTCTTTTCTTCTACCCGTTTACCTATATTTCTTCCTCAGTGTGCCATGTTGTTGACAATTATTCCGATTCTCAACAATCACCACCACCACCAGCACCACAGCCATTGACCCACACCTCCACCTCCACCTCCTCAGGCGTTCCCAACCACCACCCACCTTCCATATTGTCTTTCAACAAACCCCCAGAGTATATAGAAAGCGTTAAAAATGAAGTTGCTGCTAAGCAGGAACGTGAGAGAATGGAACCTGTGGCGTCTCCCTCCTGGATCCACGGTGTTGCTAGTTCTAGGAACCACACAGGAGAGTTTCCATTATTTACGCATCATTACTTGTCCAGTAGCAAGGTGAGAGATTCTTTTATTACATAATAATATTGATAATTATGATGCTATATTAATTTAGATAAATCTATATAGGTTGTTATGTAATAGGTTATAATTGATGCATTATTTATTTTTCATAATTATTTTGTTTCAAATTAACAGATATAATTTCCCAAGTTCCCAAATTTTGGAAAACCATTATGTAGATTTATTTTGCAATTTATTTTGATTTGGACATTCAGAGGGTTATAATACCTTAAAAATCTCTGTTTTACAGAACTGCATCTTGTTTGCATCATTTGAAAATTATTAATATAGAATACTGAAATATGGTAGTAATGAAAATAGATTGCTTTGATATGATAGATCATGTAATTTGAATCAATCTGTTTTGGCTTCAAGCTGTTCAAATCAACCATACTTTCTTCATGCATAATGGATGTGACATTCACTAATAAACCTATTACTATATCATATGTGAAACCTGCATAAGAGATTCTCTTCTATTCAGAATATTTTGCTGTAGTTGATTGATACCCTGGGGATATTTTTTGACTTCGCCTCTGTAGGTTTAGTCAAATCCAGCCATTATCTAGTTAACTTTTCAGTTTTTATTCATAAGGAATTTTATTTTGCTGAAAGATAAATGTCAGTCGCAGGACACACCAAAGCTATCATGGAGATATAAAGTTCCATATACTTTTACCCAACAAAAGCCAGTATCATGGATTTCTGTAATTATTTTGGGGAGCCCAGTACGTTCTTTAAAATTTACATGTCTCAAATTAAGTTATTATGGATTGACCGAGATGCGAGCATCAGTGTGTGCGTGGTTGCGACCAGACCTATATCTCAGACATGCATATACCGATTACATTCAAACTTCACACATACATCATACATAATATTATACATATGCACATCAATTTGTTTCACAGTCTGATTCAAGATGTCTGAATGGTGGCCCATTTGTTCTGAAAAATCATCGAAATCAAGCATTTTTGGCATTCTGGAATCAGATATTTGGCTGTCTACAGATGGATTGTGTTCAAACTTGTTATATACATTGGTCATTATGGGACCTTGATGCACATCATTTTGTCGGTGGTGGTGGACATTTTGTTTTAATGAATGCAGTGTAGTACCATATCTCTCATTATATTCATTATACATCATGTCATAGATTTACAGATATATTGGTTTGACGATCCGATTCAAAATGGTGGCCATTTTATTTTAATTAATGCTGTTCCAAAGCAATATCTTTCAATATAAGTACTCGTTTGACAATCATGCAGATACAAGATGACCAAATGTCAATCATTTTAGTGTTAAAAAATCAAGCATCAGCTTCTGTATCCATATCTCTGACATGTTTATGTTCAAACTATACTATATCACTATAAACAAAACTATTGTATATATCTTAAATTCGATAACAAATTAGGATTCTGCCATGCATGGCTTCTTTCATGATTAATTCAACATTTTCCCGTTTCTGGAATTGGATCTCAAATGTGTGTGGACGGATTTGGTTTAAACTTGGTATTTCATACATTGAACACAATGGGATCTTGATGTGCATCATTTTATTTTTTGGATTAGGATCAAATTGGCCAACTGGCAGCCATTTTGTATCAAAGAATGCAGTTTTGAATTCTAACATCAGACATAGGTGGACCAATCACATTCAAGATTCACACATTAGACATTATATTGTACATATGCACATGTATTCGTTTCATGATCTGATTTAAGATGGCCGATTGATATTCATTTTAAAGTCAAAAATGCATTAAAATAACACATTTTTACCATCTCTGAACTGGATCTCAGTCGTGCATGCAGCTCTCTTCAAACTTAGCACACACATTGAACATAATGAGACCAGGCCAAGATCTAAATGGCCGACAGGTGGCCATTTTGTTTCAAAAAATGCAATTCCTGTTTATTATATTCAACATGTCTGGACATCAGACATCATGGCAGATAAACGTATTTTTGTCACCATCAAATCCAAAATACCTGACTGGCAGTTATCGGTTTAAACAAATGCAGATCTACAGAGCCATATCTCATACATGGCTGGCCCAATCAAGTTTAAACTTTGCACATACATATATATCTCGCATCTGTATTAATACAAACAAGGACTATGACATTGACAATGACTTGTTTAACACATGAATTTTCATTCTTATGTTAAGTATGGCATCAAAAAAACATCTGAAATCTAGTTGCTATGGTGAAAATTATTAGAACATTGTGATGAATAGTAATAATTTTTTGTGGAATAATACTTTAACATTTCATTACCTATAGGAATTGTTCCAAATATGTCTGTTTTTACGTCTTTTCAGGCAGTTTTTCTCTCTTACCTGTTGTTAATGTATCTAATTTGTCTTTTTTTCCCCTAGATGGAACAAATTGACCCAGGTGGGAGTGTTCATCGTTCGTTAAGCGCAAGCGCCAGAAGTGACAATGAGTTCTACCGTCCAAATCGCATGCATCAGTATCTAACAGCAACTGAAATGCCAGGTGAATCCGAGAAGGTGGTTGATATTAAACTTGGAAGACCAACAAGAACAAGGTATGCTCGATTATTGGTTTAATTTGCATTTGCACCCCACTCAGGTTTCTTACAGAAACTATTGGATTATGACTCAGATGATATATGGTGGGTGTTACATGTGGAACAGGATGTGCTCATGCTTTTCAAAACACCTGATATCATTTCATGTTCACCATGAGATCCATATATCTTTATATATCATTCCATGTATCTTTCTAATTTGATGTAGTGTGATATACTTTCTTCTTGTGGAGTATTTTGTCAATAAGTGTCAGTCATTTTTTTTGTGTTCTTGAACTTGTTAATTCCTCATTGTTTAATGATCTACTTTTGTGTTTGTGATTTCCTCTTCACAAATATTATGTGGAGTTTGCTATTTTTCCTTTGATTTGCTGAAAATATATTTCATAGTGACATGTTTTGTATGCAAGCTCCAAAACACAAAAAATTGAAAATACAATTTCAGCTGAATTAATAAATAAATATATCTTGTGTATAGAGAAAATTATCCTAGGTTGATAATCATGATTATTGCTAAAAGAACAGCTCATTTTCTAAGTTAGAAAAATATAAAATTTGGTAATTTAATGTACTTGTACCATTTATATGATCCACTGCCAGCCAGGACAATTAGAGTATCTGTAAATACAATTTAAAGTTAGCAATATGATCAAATATAGTAACTATATAGTATTCGTTTTCCTAACTTGTAGTTTATTAAGAGCTCGCCATAGATCACAGTCTGCGCCATCATTGAATTCCAGCCAACTGGATATAAGGCATCTACATACAATTGGTCAAAGTAAGTCATCTATCAGTACTTTTATTTACTTTTTAATTAACACATACCATATTTGCTCTCCTATAAGTACTTCTTAGCCAACAGTGTTTGTTTCTGTGAGATTATAAATGCACCGAACCAGACGAATCTATTATAAGCCAATGTTTTGTATTAGAAATTGCATGTTCACACGCGATTCTAAGAGTTCATTGCACCTTATTTTTCATCACTCTAGTTACAGATTCCGCCAATAAACCAAAGAAAAAAGTACTGCAAAGAGAGTGAGTATATATAATTGATTGATCACATGATGTCATTATTGATGGGCGTATGCTTGTCCATGAGCAGAATAATAATTACATAAATTTACTTTTAAACTCTGACACCTGTTGACTGTTTACGGTTTATCAATCCTTGGATTATGATGCGTCTTCAAGTTTTTCATTTCAGTGATGTTAACGAGTTGATGATTTCAAAATTATGTTTATTTACAGTTTACTCCCTCCAACTGGCAGAGAATCGCTGCATCAGTTTTTAACCGGGGCTAGATACAACAGGTTTGTATATGACCATAATTTATTGAACCACAGCCAACAGGAAATGTTCATTGAATTCTAAGCATGTGATGTGATTGTTTATTTTGCCCTTTGATCTTGTTTTTGTTATGGGTCTTGTGTTATCCTCGAAGCTGTCTCCAATTGTGTCTATGCGGGGGTAGTCTATTGATTGCATCTAATTCCTATCTGACAGTGGTTTGTACTGATAAACTATTAACCCACAATTTTAGCATGTTGACTGTCCTGTATTCATGCAATTTTAATGATGGCCTGGCTAACTAGTAACAGCACTGCAAATTTATGATATTTTGCTGGAAGGTTTCATTACATAAATGGACATGAAACAAATTAAAATTCAATCTTGTTTCCAACAATAACTTTCTTATGATTTCCCTTTAAACTCTTCTTTGGTGACCATTTTGTATTGGAAAATATGAAGCTACTAAATGCATACAATTGAGAGGTTCATAATTCAATTACTTAAGTACCCTAATTTTTCTTGGGAGGTTGGGGGTTGGAACAGCAGATCGTAAGAATATTTAAGTTCCAGGAAATTCCTGACACTAAAAGTGTGTCAGCCGTGATCATGCATTCTTAAGATGATGTTAAGCTAATATGCTGACTTGGCAGTTAAATATAAATGAAGGTCATCATGTCGTATTAAAGTTATTAAATTCATAACCATAATGATGTGAAGATTTGCAGAAACCTCAAATGTAGAAAAATATGGCATGTTTTGTAATAATGTCATTATTTGTAATCTCACGATGTTATTTTCCATTTTGAATATTTTCACAGTTGTGAAATAATCAGTTTTAAAATAAATATTGTCTGCTATTTGTTATGAACTACAGTGATTGAAATGCCAAATTCAATTTTTGTTGCCCTTCATGAAATATGCCTTATATAACTTTTTTTCATATTTTCAACAAAATTAAAAAATTAGTACAAAAAATTCACAAAATGTTGCACCAAAGTTTTAGCTGAAATAAAATATGCATTTAAATGATTCCTCTCTTAAAATTTAACTTAAATTTACTCTATCTATTATAGTTTAGATTTCCCACTACAAATTTGATTTGTGTGTTATTGCTTTCTGTGACTTGATTATATTTTCTATTTTTTTTTTGTCAGAGCAAGATGGATTGATAATCATCCTGCAACAAAATATAGTATGTACAGTGAATATGATTCAGGTATGTAATTTACTGGTTCTATTCTATTAAAATATTCTATCATGATACATGTGTATAATGTCATATGAAGATTGCAATGAAAGCCAAATGATGATCATTTCATTTGTTACGTCAATTTTACCAGTATATTAATATCATCAGTTTTGTTTATTGGCATTCTATTCAATATACGCAACATATACAGATTGCTGGTAGTATCTCATGATCAGCTGTTGATCTGCATTACCAGTGATTTCAATGGTTGAGTGCATATAGTGAGTGGAATGTCACATAGATGTCTATGACATCCCATAGTGTGTGATGTTTGCATAAATCTGAATAGGTAATGAGATATTACTAGCATAGTACCTAGGCGTATAGTGAGTGGAATGGCACATAGATGTCTATGACATCCCATAGTGTGTGATGTTTGCATAAATCTGAATAGGTAATGAGATATTACTAGCAATGTACCTAGGCATATAGTGAGTGGAATGTCACATAGATGTTTATGAAATCCCATAGTGTGTGATGTTTGCATAAATCTAAATAGGTAATGAGATATTACTAGCATAGTACCTAGGCATATAGTGAGTAGAATGTCACATAGATGTCTATGACATCCCATAGTGTGTGATATTTGCATAAATCTGAATAGGTAATGAGATATTACTAGCATAGTACCTAGGCATATAGTGAGTAGAATGTCACATAGGTGTTTATGACATCCCATAGTGTGTGATGTTTGCATAAATCTGAATAGGTAATGAGATATTACTAGCAATGTACCTAGGCATATAGTGAGTAGAATGTCACATAGATGTCTATGACATCCCATAGTGTGTGATGTTTGCATAAATCTGAATAGGTAATGAGATATTACTAGCATAGTACCTAGGCATGTAGGTAGTGGAATGTCACATAGATGTTTATGAAATCCCATAGTGTGTGATGTTTGCATAAATCTGAATAAGTAATGAGATATTACTAGCAATGTACCTAGGCATATAGTGAGTGGAATGTCACATAGATGTTTATGAAATCCCATAGTGTGTGATGTTTGCATAAATCTAAATAGGTAATGAAATATTACTAGCATAGTACCTAGGCATATAGTGAGTAGAATGCCACATAGATGTCTATGACATCCCATAGTGTGTGATTTTTGCATAAATCTGAATAGATAATGAGATATTACTAGCATCATACCTAGGCATATAGTGAGTAGAATGCCACATAGATGTCTATGACATCCCATAGTGTGTGATATTTGCATAAATCTGAATAGATAATGAGATATTACTAGCATCATACCTAGGCATATAGTGAGTAGAATGCCACATAGATGTTTATGACATCCCATAGTGTGTGATATTTGCATAAATCTAAATAGGTAATGAGATATTACTAGCATAGTACCTAGGCATGTAGGTAGTGGAATGTCACATAGATGTCTATGACATCCCATAGTGTGTGGTGTTTCCATAAATCTGAATAGGTAATGAGATATTACTAGCATAGTACCTAGGCATATAGTGAGTGGAATGTCACATAGATGTCTATGACATCCCATAGTATGTGATATTTGCATAAGTCTGAATAGATAATGAGATATTACTAGCATCATACCTAGGCATATAGTGAGTGGAATGCCACATAGATGTTTATGACATCCCATAGTGTGTGATATTTGCATAAATCTGAATAGATAATGAGATATTACTAACATCATACCTAGGCATATAGTGAGTAGAATGTCGCATAGATGTCTATGACATCCCATAGTGTGTGATGTTTGCACAAATCTAAATAGGTAATGAGATATTACTAGCATAGTACCTAGGCATATAGTGAGTAGAATGCCACATAGATATCTATGACATCCCATAGTGTGTGATATTTGCATCAATCTATATTTATATTGTGGATATGGCACTTGTCAGTGAATCATAAATTTAATTTTCATTTTTTGTGTGTTTGTATGGTATGAATTTTTGCATGGCAAATAAATGAATAAAAAAAGAAAGAACTGAAACTGTTCTTGCCAAAATCGAATGTTTTAAAATAATTTACACAACTTAAGGATGGTTTTACAAGATGAAACAAGAAGTCTTGTCAAATAATGTAGGTATGTTTTATGGTAAATTTGTTTGGTTTACTGTATTATACATACATATTATACATCATGACAATGAATCTTATTTATAGAATGTAATAATGTCAACCATTGCATTCTTTGTACAGGCTATTTTCCAGTTATATTAGATCTAAAAGCCATCAGGAGAGACTCTAATGGCATGTATATTAATATACAAAATTTGCGCAGTTTCACTTGCATGAACTGGATGAACCAATTTGTCTTTTATCTCTCCTTGTCCATCAAGTCCTTTGCATCCTGTTGCAACAAACCAAACTTTGTATCAATGTATGACTTTACCCCCACCAAAAGTGTGTTGTTGTTGGCACTTGTTAAAGAGTGATGGTCGTTTTGTATGTTTGAATCTTGGGTATATAAAATAAACAGTGTCTCGTACATGATTATATCAAATATGTTGCATGAAACCCATATCGAACATGCCACTTCACAGCTTCCATCACCCTTTAGTTGTATGTTCTGAGAAATCAGTATATTAGTATGATGATATGAAATCATTTCTATATTTCAGAATACAGACAATCATTTGAAATAAATAGTGAAAATGAACTGAATTTTAAAATCAACTTTTCCAACTTATTTGAGTCCAGAGCTGTTGGGTATTAGTGTCATTTCATTTATGTGTATCTGAACCATCTAGTCCTCCTGTTTATATCCGTAGCAATTAATCCTGTCCTTATTTCAACTGTCATTCCAAAGAAGAAATTAGCAGAGTTGCCGAGTGTGAAAAAGGTTGCGAAAACGAATATTTTAACAGCTGCGAAACTTTTAGAAGGTTGTAATAATTGTGGATGACCATTTTTACATCCATGAGATCTGTTTTTAACCATTTTGAACGTTTACGAATAGTGAAACTTCAGTTTCCAAAAGGAAACAACATTTTGGCCATTGAGGGCGCTGCTGCAATATTGGTTTCAAGGTATTCTAGTAACAGGGTTAACCAAATGTATTGTTGGTTTGATTTGAGGGCACTAATAAAAAGAGTGATGTGTGATTGAATTTAATTTCTTCTGCACTTATTCCCTCTGTGCTGCATAATGTTTTATTTCATAGAATGTGTACATTAATTTGTTAATTAATAAAGATACAAGTCCTGGAAACGAACTTACCCGGTACATCCAGAGTTCAGGCTACTTTTCTATAGCTTGGTCTTTCTGATATGCATTGTGCCATTAACCAGAATATTCCATCTATGAATAAAGTTTAATAGGATTTATCTATTCAACGTCATTTACAGGCTGCCTACCGCCCTACGGAAGTGAAGTCTCATCCAGTTCAGGCTCAAGTACATCTGGTGATCAGACTCCTCCAAAGGAAAAAGAATCCTTGCCTCCTGCTGTCCGGTCATCTACTCCGGCATCCTTGAAAGAAATCACTCAGATTCTGGAAGTGGAAGCTGAAGAAAGAGCAGCTAACGAAATTTCAACAACATTGGGAAAACCCAAATGCGCATGGGATGGTGAAAAAGGTGGTGGTGGTGACAACCTTGCTTCGTTAACTCCACTTAATACCTCTCGAGAGACATTCAATTCTGATAACAACAACAGCAACATCAGCATGCTGACACCGAAAAAAATCATGTTGCTACCACCTGAGGAGAAAACCATCTGCCAACAATCACAGCATGAGTTGAAAAGACACCCAGGTATAGAAGCTACATGCTTGTTCTGCAGAGCTTCCAACCACGATGAAATAATTGAATCAAACGGAAAGTGTGAATCAGTTGAAAATCAGCAGTATATGAACACACAGAAACCAGCTTATGAAAATGGTGAACAAAGTAAACATTGTATGAGTATTCAAGGTGAGTCAGCATAGTTATGACAAGATATTATATCACCTAGTCCACTGTACATGTTTAGAATCCATGGTTGATTGAAGCCTAAACAGTAAAAGGTGTGAGAAAATATCTTGGCTGTCCCAGCCACTACCTGATTTACTTGTTCAGAAAGTAATGATTTTACAAACACTTTCTAGTGAAGAATATTGTCAGTCCCCGCTCAAATAAGGTTCAAAACATAGACTTATAATTCAAACTGTGTCTGTGTGTGCATGCGTGAGTCCATATTTCTGGACCCTCTGGACCAAATCAGTTATTTTTTTGCATGTACTATAGTTATGTGTAATAAATGAATATATATCAATTCATTTTGCCGACTGGTGGTCTGTTAAAATTGTTATATTTTGAACATGGCATTTTTGGTTCAAATTTAGTATATACCGATACCCCGGTATTGTTAGTGATCACTTGCCTATGGTGACCACTTTTAGGAAGTGTAAATTAAGTCGTAACTTGTGTACAGAGTTCAATTTGTAGAGCATGTACACACTTAAAGCGGCAATCTCAGATTTTGGGTCTATGATGTGAAATATTGATGGTATGAATTGCGGGAAATATTAACTTAACATGCAGTGACTTTCAGCATGTCCAAATAAATGTTGCCTGTTGCATTGGCTTCCCATTTTATTGTTTGCTTGAATTTCATTTGCATTTTTATACAGTTCTAATGCAAGTTGGATTGACAAACAATCCCCTCTGATCTTAATCACTGCTGCTAGCCACAACCGGGCTAAATCCTCAACTTTTCCGGAATTTGCATACCATCAAATCTTTCACATAAGAGTCCCAAGATCCTAATGAAGCTATGAATGATCTCTGTGTACAACTGGCATAATCGTAAAGCTTTGTGGCCTCTATTAATTCACACACCAAGTAAACTAATCACTAATCACTAAAAATGTATCCTATAACTTTCAAAAAATGTATGTGATTGCAACCGGAGTTCGCAACTTACTGTACTAGTGCATCTGCAGATGGAAAATCATTATCATGTGGCGAATGTTCTGTCTGTATTGTCATGTTAAAAAAAAAATAATAATTACTATTAAATTGGTGGAAACACCTATTAAGTATCTTTTTAATTCATGCACTTCAAACAAATAATCTCCATTTGTATTGAATGCTTAAAATTAATTGAAAATCAAGTTTTTAATATATACTGTGTCATCACAAACACTTGACAGAACTTTTATGTTTTGTTCCTATCCTCAGGAACCAAATTGGGCTTTTCCTCAACTAGGCCGAAAATTACACCACGAAGGAAAAACTTGGAAGGTAAACCAGTAGTGCGTTCTTCCTACCAGCAAGATGCTGATCAAAATCAGAATGAAGAGACAGAAACAGAGCAGCAGAACAAGAAAGAACCAGATGATGAAATACACAAGGAAAATGCAGAAAGGACAGAAACTGAAAATGTGAAAGATAACATTGCAGAAATTGCTAATAAAGAACTTGTGAATACTGCTGCTCAAGATGTTGGGAATAATGATGATGAAGATGCTGATGCTGATGAAGGTGTAGTTGAGAATAATGCTGATGGTAGTATTAATGATGACAATGCTCATGATGAAAATGTTGATGGACTTTCAGTAAACAATAAAGTTGTTGAGGAATGCACTGTGAATACACAGAAAGAGGTAGAGGACACTGATGCACACGGTGAAACAGTACAACTTGACACATATCGTAGTGAGGTCACAGAGACACCTAGAAGCGAGGGAGAGGACATGAGTGAAGAGATTTCAGTGTCAGTCACCATGAAGGACAGGGAACAAAATGATGAGGATTCAAGAAAAAAGATTGATGTAGAAGATGATGTGCAAGTTGATGAAGGAGAAGTTGGACAAACAGTGGGATCAAATCATGATTAAATTAGAAAAAAACAAAATTTTGTTATAATGTAGAAGCTGTTGAGTTGGTGCTTAAAGCAAAGGTGCTTACACAAAGTAGATCCCTAAACACGCAAGCGTAATTATGAACACAATTCTTAAAAGCAGATTACCTAAGCCATTTTTACTGTGACGATGATAGTCTCAGAAGTCATAGCTACATCACCCAGGGTACATGCATCATATGTTGTCTGTTACATTCAAGCTCCAAATGTATCTGATTACAAAGGCAGCATTATTTAGTTTATTTTTAGTTGGCTATATACGTGTATGTGCTCATTATTAAATTATTATCAATTTGATGACATCAATATGATGAAATAGTTTTCTATGATTGACAATATGACCACAAACTGGCATGAAATTAGGAAATGTTGACAAACTCCAATGGTAAAATTAATACTTACGCTTTAACCCTGTGAGCACCAAAGTCAACTTTTGTCGCTACCGGTACTACTAAACTGACATAATTTTTTTTATAATTTTCCAAGAATTTTGATCATGACTTGTAGTAAATAGGAAATTATGTTGATTTGGTCCAAACAAAATTTTTTTTTGGAAACAAACAAATTTTTGCTCAATTTTTGGCATGTAATTCATCACTGATCAAAGAAAACCAATTACGTACATCAATCCCAATTGAAAAAATGAGTTTCAGCTAATTATTTATATTTTGTGATAATTTTGTCAACTGTTGGCTAGTTGACTAGAGATCCTTCCAAGAATTAATCAAAATGTAATAACAACCTCTTTAATTCCGTCCAATAAGGAAAGAGATGCTTTAATCTTAGGCCATTGTACACAATGTAGTGTTATTTATTTACAGGGGGGTTGGTACACAGCGATTACGTAGCTGAAAAGCAAGCAAGCTAGTGTTATTTGCAAGTATGTATATATTAAAACACCAGATCACATTCCAGTATTGAAGGGTTACTGACTGAATACCATGTATGATTTTTATGGTCCTGTACACAAACCAGTACATGTTTATAAGTGAATGTTATTGATTTCGCAACTGAGATTGTCATAATTCAGTTTGAACCCAAGAAATAGCTAAAGGTGTACATTCCACTAGCTATGATAGGTGGAGAAGGCGAACTGTTAATTAACATATATCACTCATAGTCTGTGAGAAATCTAGTTGGAGAAGCCAGTTAATTGAATAAGTTTTGATGATCTTATTAAGGAAAGGAATACCTGACTTAAACCCCAACTTTCTGTAATAAAAGCAGGTCTTACAATGACAATGAATAGGATACCTTAACTTTGAAGTAATCTAAATTCCAAATCATAATCAAAAAAAATATTGTTTTTTAGCTTAAAATTAGGATCCTGGTCTTGCCAGTTGTTGTCGTAATCTAGAAATTCACGCACTTCATCATTTGCGCAAAACTTGCCTATGTCAAACATTCATAAACAGTGTAAGTCAGTCTCCTCACTGAACTGTCTTGAATTTCCAGTAAAAATAGTTATTTTTGATAGTCTACTGGTAATATATTTCATAATTTATAATGTGTTAGTTTGATTTGTCATAGACAAAGCATGCATACACATTCGTAATATTGCTCAACGAACATCAAATTTTCTCCAATAATTTGTATTACAAGCTTGTTTGTTATTTGTGTGTGATAGTTTGAATAATATAGAGCCATGCAAATTATATTAAAAAAAAAATTATATATTTTTTAAAAAATGTCGGCCACAGAAATATTGCCACACCTTATTTGTTTTCATCATTCCAGTTTTTAACATGTTTTTTTTTCAAATGAAAATGATTTTCTGTTATGCCTTATTTGGGTTGTAATTGGTAAATTGTACGAGGGTGGCTTTAAATTTACGGAATTCTCAATCTTTATCATGTGCTTTATGTGTAATTATACCGTCCTAAAAGAAAATTATAATGTAGTGAATCATTTATCAAAGTCCTTTTTATCCGTCCAAATTGTACTTAAATATTTTTCCTGTTTGAGAAAACTATTTATTTTTTAACTGCTGCTTGATAATTTGCTTAATATTTAATATTATGTCAATATTACATTTTCTCCCAGACTTTTAATGAATAGTTATTGATTTTTAACTATTTAATGTATTTGCTTTATTGAAAAAGCATCTCTAAAAGCCTATGTAGAACCTTCAGAAAATGTATACCAACCTAGTCTGTACACTATTTTGATAGGGCAGGTGCTTATAATATAGCAAATATAGTTCTCTTTTTTATTATAATTTCATATACTGTAAAATACTTTATTTTCACTGGAATTAATTTTCGCTGAAAAGACTTTTTAGGTGTTTTGTATGGAATTTATTTTTTCACTGATTTTTGGCGAGTTGAATGTAAGAAATTGGAAAAAAGGTTAATTCGCTGGAAATTAATTCCAAGCGAAAATAAAGTATTTCACAGTAATGTCTGTAGTTGTTCATATGAAATGTAACATGTACTGTCATTCAGATTCTAGCCCTGTTGGGTGTTCTCACTTTAGATATTAACACTATACTAGTGTCTCCAATAGTGATACTCACCAAAACGGGTTAGATTGTGTTTAGTATTCTCATTTTGAGAAAGATCTTTGTTTTCCAAATGGTTCTCTGGACTTCTAACAAGAGACTTAATTTACATATGACATCCAATGCATTTGAGGTACATTGGTAACAAGGGCAAGAATATTTCAGCCTTGTTCTTCTGAAAGTTACTTATGCTTGATATAGCTACTTATCAGTATCCGTCCATAGTGTGGCTTGTTTGTTTTTTTACAATTTGCTAACCAAACCTTTGAAAGTTGATACATTGATGCACTGATGGCAGACAAAATAAAATATGGCTGTGCTGGTTGAAGTCAAATAAACTCTTTGTATTTCCAAAATATTGTACTATTGCTACATATTCTCTGTACTGATATTCAGAGTGGAATTGTGCTAGGGGTATACATGGTTGTACATGTGCTCTATTAGAAGCACAAATAAACCAACAAATATTTATTGAATGCAAGATCACAGCCTCACCCCTGTAATTTACACAAGCGCATGTACTTTAATAAAGCAAAAATGATAGGGTATTGCAATATGTGTTACAAACATTAAAATGCAGATGGGTCTGTTGCACCATTGCAAATAAAGAGGTCGAACATACAACCAGCCACATAAACCTTTCTCTTTTTGATTGCAGTGTAAATTCAGTTTGCTTTGATATAGCTTTTATTTATTTATCGCTTGGAAAATGCCTGTACAATGTATATATGTTTATGCTTGGGTTTTATTAAATAGAAATCTAAAAAAAAAAAAGTTTCATACTTGTCATTAATATAGTTGTCAAATCTGTTTGTATACGAGAGTTTCGGTGAAAAAAACCATTCATGGTTCTATTATATTGAATTCTGATGCCATCAGTGGTATTTTGGGCAATATATTAAAGGAGTTCTAAGGTGTATTCTAGAAAAAATATGCAAGACATTTGTTTACCTTGCTAAATAAAACACATTGAAAATGTGTTTTCACATTTATTTTATTACATCTGCATTACAAAGAAATCGTACAGAATCAATCCCAACACAGGATATGCAAGCCTCCCACTTTCGGCTAAATGATGTACAGCGCCACCAAGTGTTGGGATTTTTAAAATGTCTAGTTGCTTTCTAGTGGCCATATAAAAAATATTCTGTTATAAAACTATATACATGACTTCACCACACACAAATCAATATAATGCTGACGTGATACATGGACAGCATTAAAACAATCGTGTATTCAAATAAAAGTTGTTTAGCGCCCACATTTGATGCGCTTACAAACACTTCATCACAGATGTAAATCTGCGTTGTATGAAAAATAATAAATGTATTGACATGAATTCGGTCAAAATATTCACTGTACTTTGTAGGTCGATACCAGCCATGTTACAATATTGGAATGCATTATGGAAATATATGTAAAGTCAGGACACATACGATAAGTGGATTATCGGTATGGTGATGTATTTCAGTACTGTAATATACTGTATTTTAATTTATCTCGCTGAAGGGATGATTCAGTGAAAATATAATCCAGGGAAATACCTTTTTTCCTATATTCTACATTCAACTTGTCAAAAATCAGTGAAAATAACTTAAATACAAAACACCCAAAAAGCCTTTTCAGCGAAAATTAATTCCAGCTAAAAGTATTTTACAGTAATCAGTCGTACCTTGAGAATTATACAAAAGGATCAGAAACTTGGGATAAGCAAGCACTATCCAGAATCTGATGGGAAAATACACAAACTCATGGTTTTATATTTATAAACTGATGTTCAATTGTGATTGTGCACATAAAAAGTTTGAAAATAATTATGCACACATTTCTTAAAACCATAATTAAAAAAAAAAATACACTAAAGCACAAGTTTATTTAAAATATACAAGATTACATTAACCATTCTATAATAAAAATATTAATATTTTCATCAACTTATTTGTATTTTTTAGCCATAAACATTAGAAAAATACATAAAACCTTGACAATTCATTACAAATTCACCCTTTGTAGTGCAACAAAAGCGGTTTAATCAATAAACAATTTATCACCAACCTTTGAGTGAGTACAGTTGCAGGATATCCTTCAAAAACATGTTGACAAGAATGTCATCACATTTTTTTTCTTGTGTAGTACTGCAGCTGATCCTAACATTAATCTACACATCAAATGTTGATGTTTCTGTCTGGGAAATTCTTATGACAAGTACCTGGTAGTGCCAAGATTAAGTATAAATATTACCGCATATTAAAGGGCGGTAGTTGATAGATATATGGGTCTCATATAAACAAGCAGCCTGTCGGCTGAGATAGCTCCGCTGTTAGTAATGCACATTTCAATTAAAGAATAGAAGATATCATTAAAAAATGAACAATATGCATAGTATCAATGCAATGGGACTTGCTGTTTTCAACAAGAATTCAAAAATATAATTTTTCACCATAAATGATTGTAGTTTTTAACAAGAAGAAAATATCACTTTTTACCAAAAATGACAAAAATATTCACCAAAATTAGAAAATTAAAGATATCGTCATGAAATGAACAAATTTGAGAATGGTCCACATGTAGTACCTATATATGTAATATCAAAGCAATTGGACTTGCGGTTTTTAACAAGAAGTTGAAAATAATACTTTTTACCAAAAATGACAAAAATATTCACCAAAATTAGAAAATTAAAGATATCATCATGAAATGAACAAATCTGAGAGAGGTCCACATGTAGTACCTATATATGTAATATCAAAGCAAATGTTTAACAAGAAGTTGAAAATATTACTTTTTACCAAAAATGACAAAAATATTCATCAAAATTAGAGAATTGAAGATATCATCATGAAATGAACAAATTTGAGAGTGGTCCATATGTAGTACCTATATATCTAATACGGTATCAAAGCAATTTGACTTGTTGTTTTTTACAAGAAGTTGAAAATATCACTTTTTACAAAAAATGACAAAAATATTCACCAAAATTAGAGAATTAAAGATATCATTACAAAATGAACAAATCTGAGAGAGGTCTACATGTAGTAACTACATATGTAATATCAAAGCAATTGGACTTGCGGTTTTTAACAAGAAGTCGAAAATATCACTTTTTACCAAAAATGACAAAATATTCACCAAAATTAGAGAATTGAAGATATGATCATGAAATGAACAAATCTGAGAGAGGTCTACCCAAGGTACATATACACCAAGTATCAAAGCATTCAGGCTTGAAGTTTTCAAGAAGAAGTCGAATAAGTAAAACATTGACACGGACGCCGGACAATCACTCATATGATAAGCTCCGCTCGACAAAGTCGACAGCGGAGCTAAAAATGGTGACTTTGACTGTTTGGCAGACCAACGAGTCCAAACTGAGACGTTACCAAGTTTTAGTTAGGTATTTTTAGGTGATTGGAAGGTATCAAAGGAATCACGGGCGGTATTCAGTGCAAGTCACGCCCAGGTCAAATCTCATACTTGTGAGTAGCCCACTGTATTATGGGAAAATCAATGTTTATCAACACAAATATCTCACATGCACAGTGTGACGACTACCGCCCTTCAACCATAGTGTACAAAAATTATTTTATTAATTATTCCAAAATCAAAATATGCTCAATGGGCATTTAGTCTAGAATCTATGCTTTATGATGTACACCACTCTACTAATGTTATGTTCATTTGCCACTTTTTAATGTTTCGGACACCAAAATAGCAACATTGTCGGCTAAGTTTCTATGCTACTCTCTAGACTGTTACATGATTGGAACTGGTGTGAAAATTAAACAAGGGTTTGATTTTTACGTGGGTCTGCTGTTCAGCGAACTTCATAGTTTACTCGTAACGCAAACTGTATTTACTAGCATTATGCCATACGCTAGTCATGTAATAGTGACGCTGTACATAAATTTTGTTTTATATATAATCTGTTTTTTTTTTAAGTTTTTCATTAGTCATATACAGTCAATTATAAGATTTAATGAAATAAAATGGAAGGGAATAGGTGATTTTCCGTACAATTGCGAGATCTCGCGAGATGCATGAAAGACGCGTGTCGAACGTCTGCCGCAAAAATCGAACGATTTGATTTTGAACTTGAATTTCCTTATTTCGTAGCTCATACCGACCGGCCGATCTTCGACAGAGAAATATTGCTTCCGAATACCCTTACTTAATCGTAATTGCCTATCATCAAACGTGGACAGCACATTATTAAGCATGGAAATGTCCCCAAAATACTTTCGCGTTAGTCGAATCCCACGCGATGTTTGACGCCACTACGACGCTATGTCCTTTGTTTGTCCTGTTTTTACCTTCGATTTCACGCATAACGCGTGATTCTCGCAGTGAACGGAAAATGGTCTATTGCATCTTCTATTGATATTCAACATGTCCTTCAGTTTTAGTTTGACGTCTCTTGCCAATCCATAATAATCTTGAGATGTGTATAACAAACCAATCAGTAACTTAGCTGGCAATGTTACTGTTCTGGTGTCCAAAACAATATGGTGGTGACAGTAGATGATACATGCTGGGAAAACCCCATAATTCATGTTATCTTGGATAACAGACAGTATTTACATTAACAGCATTTTTATTCATTCATTCAACCAATCCAATTCAGACAATGACTGAACGTGACTAGATTTTACTAGCATCACAGCTGAATTCCCGCATAGATTATCAGCTAATTGTCACTAGAATCTACCCGTTTATTCATTGTTAGATCAGTGTGCAGCATTGGCAAGTTTATTTTATAGATTGCCAACATTTCTTTTACTAATTTGGTATTTAAATTAACAACTAAACTCCCCTTGCACACAATATAAAGTTTTATGATATTGACCGGTATCCCTAACTGCACTGAAAAAATACAGCCAACATAATTTGGGTATCTCTAAGTTTTCTGTTTTCAAGACACAGATGAATAAATCATTTTATCCTTTGACAATAAATTATTAGTTTTTTTAAATGCTACCAGCCTTAACAAATCAATAAAGTTGCCGGCTCCAATCAACACCCAAAATTCAGTATGACTTCCCATATTTTGGAAAAGTTTGATATATTTCGCAAATGTTCGAATTGACGAATTATGGGTGTTGACAAAAATATTTTCAACAAATCAATCATAGTAGTAGGGAGAAAAACTATTAGAAGAACTCTCTTCATTGCAACATTTTATTTGCCTCATTTATTTTGTTTCTCCATGCACACCCTACATTTCTTTAGGGATGAACTGTAAGAAACAAATATGGCCACCAATATCTGGATATTTGGTGACTTCCATTTTGATTTTATAGCAAGAGAAAAAAAAATTAATAAAATAATTAAGTTTTTTGTTAAAACTGTGCTCTATACATTGTATTCACCCCGTTCCTGCCAATACTCATGAGTAATATACTCTTAATGGTAGTGCAGGAATAAGGTTATACACATGGTGCTCAATGTGAGTATTTTCATCTCACTTGTACTAAGACCATTTACTTTCACTTATGAGCCATGATATACATCTTATACTCTGAATTACACTTTTCATGGTTTGCTGATTTTATGATGTTTATAGTGACAACATTTTGTGAATGTCGCTATGACTGTATGTATTCGGGACCCCAGTGAAATTGTCAGTTACAAAATGTCATGACTTTCAACAACTTACTTTATGAAATTTAAAAAAAAAACATTTATCTCACAAAATGAAAGTGCTTGTCCTTTTAGACTTCTTAGTTTTCCTTGATTTTTTATCACATCAAAACCAAATCTGATATTGTCCACAAAATCTTCAATGACAAATGTCAAACTTCTGTTTAAATGCTATATAAACCACATCAATATCTTTTCCGGTCATAAGGCTTTCTTCGACCTTTTGAGTAGTCTGTTCGGTTGTTGTTATATTTTCCCTGAGGTTTAGTCCTAGACTGCATTAAAGCTTTCATTCCTGAGTCCGGAAAAACAGTAAACTCATCGTCGTTTTTCTCCATAGAGTTCAATTTGGCTTCTATTGCTCGGATTTTGGTTTCAGTGCTGCAAAAGAGAGACAAATATGAAGCAATTTTGCTGATATTCACACCTGATCATCTAAATCCAAATGTCTTCAGCCCCAAATCCCTAGATGTCTAGTAGGCTCCATATCCTAGGAAATATTGAACACTGATATTACATCGCATATATTAACAAGTAGCCTGTCGACTGAGATAGCTCCGCTGTTAGCAATGCAGATTGCAATTAAAGAACAGAAGATATCATTAGAAAATGAACAATATGTATAGTATCAAAGCAACAGGACTTGCTGTTTTCAACAAGAATTCAAAAATATCAATTTTCACCAAAAATAATCATCAAAATTAGATAATTGAAGATATCACCACGAAATTAACAAATCTGTAAGTGGTCCACATGTAGTACCTATATATGTAATATAAAAGCAATCAGACTTGCGGTTTTCAACAAGAAGTCAAAAATATCACTTTTTACCAAAAATCACAAAAATATTCACTAAAATTAGAGAATTGAAGATATCATCATGAAATGAACAAATCTGAGAGAGGTCCACATGTAGTACCTATATATGTAATATCAAAGCAATTGCACTTGCGGTTTTTAACAAGAAGTAAAAAATATCACTTTTTACCAAAAATAACAAAAATATTCACCAAAATTAGAGAATTAAAGATATCATTACAAAATGAACAAATCTGAAAGAGGTCCAGATTTAGTACCTATATATGTAATATCAAAGCAATTGGACTTGCGGTTTTTAACAAGAAGTCGAAAATATCACTTTTTACCAAAAATGACAAAAATATTCACTACAAGACATGAAA